CACGGCTTACGATTAATTTAAAGGAACATAATAGGTATTATCTCCTTAATAACGCTGTATATTATTTATAGATAAATATGTAATGAAATATCGTGTGTACTAACATTTTTATTCACCATCATATTTATATGTTACTTTCTAGTTTTCTAAGACCGTATCGTATGTTCAGTTATTTGCATTTCCTGGAAGTTGACCAATATCCGTTTAACATCGAAATATCGTGCTAATTTCAATTATACATTTTCCCTTTATCGTAAACTTAAATAGAATTTGTTGAAAATGATAATATTGCAACGTCAAGGTCTTTGGTGGCGCTTTGCGTGACACTTACAAACGCTAAAGTAAAAGATCATAATTTATCTATATAATTTTGTGCAGATATAGTGTTACAGTGGAATTGATAATGAATTAATATTAATACTGTAAAATGATTTAATAAACATTCAATTGTATCAATAATTCATAATTCATCGAAATCGATTGGCTTAATCGTAAATAATATTTGCTTAAACTTTATTAAGATTATCGATGAACGCCACTTAAAAACACTGACGATTACGACTTTTTGGGAATAACAGACATCTTTTTTTAAAGATCAGATAGCTTATTAATTAATTACGAAAATCGACCACTTGCAAATACAATTAATTACAATGTAACCTGTAAAGCTCTTCGAAATACAAGGGGACATTTATAGTCATCTTACTCCTGGAATTGCTGTATAATTCACGTGTACTCTTTTTAACGGTATTTGTTAACAATTGCGATACAATTCATCTTCATGTATATACATGTATGTACGTATGTATGTACATATGTATGTACTTATATACGTATGTATGCACTTGCGCGCACGTACTAGCACACACACATACACACACACACACATACATACATACATACATGCATGCATACATACATACATACAAACATACATACATACATACATACATACATACATATGTACATACAGAATGTATCCTATTTTAATCTCTCAGAGTAAATATCTTGAAAAATATGAAACATATGAAAAAATGATTTAGACAAAAGTTGTAGGATTTTAAGAGGAAGAGATTACCCGTTTATTTCACCTTGCAATTTCATCTTGAACATTTTATTTTATTACAAAATTCAACTTAGAATTTTTAAATCAGAACCTACATTTTTCATTACATGTTATTGTAGCTCTAGTGAAAATGTTTTCAGCACACTACATATGTAATTTTTTTGTATAACCCATTTTCAAGATATAAACTCTTAATGTTGACGTTGCCGTTTCGAAATTTATCACAGCAACATAGAAAAAGAAATAAAGGACTCTTTTAAAAGGCAAATTAATCCATGTATCGAAACAAGCGGTCGAGAGTTTGAATGCTTATTAGTCTGAGATATTTATCAGTACCGTGCTTTTAATCGGATCTTTTTAGGGTCACTATAATGTATAAAATTCTACCCCGTGTCACCTGTCACCGATATACATTAAAATAATGCTAATGCCAGCAACAACTCAAGTTTGACAATTCATATATCTGGAATGACTTATGCAAAAATTACATTTATAATTATAATTAAAAAATATAGGTTCTAATTTAAAAATTACAAGTTGACCTTTATAACCTTTTCCAAGATCATTGCAAGATCAAATATATGATAGCATAATCTGTTCCACTCGAAATCATACAACTTTTGCCTAAACCGCTTTTTCATATCTCTTGTATTTTTCGAGTCATTTATCTTCAAAGATCAAAATGAGACACCCTGTATATGTATATATACACGCGCGCGCACACACATACGCACATATGTATATGTATACGTAGAATATATATACGCACATATATTTATACATATACACATACATGATATATATGTATATACAATATAGGTATACAAATATAAATTATTTGCCTTATTTTAAAATGGGCCTCATGGTACGAAGTAAATTCTTCTGCTTTATGAATAGACGCCGCTATTTTATTACACACTAAGTAAAGTTCATTTCATAAACCCGTTTCTTTGAAAATTCTTCTTTTTTTTTTTTTTTTATATTGCCTGCGATTCTTTTTAATGCATTAGGTACAAGTTTACAACGTGCTAGGTGTAGGTCTATGCAAGTTATCAAAACTGAACATTCAATCGACATTTTTTTTTCTTTTCAAGGCAATTTGTTATTATCAGATTTAAAAGATCAGTAAACGATGTATAATTAATATCTTAATTCACTTTGTTAAAATAAAAATTACAAAAATCTTTGTAAGCATTCCACCTATTGCCCACCGAGCATTATTTACTAAATGGGATAGTGATGTCCGGATAATTTACTGAGGTATATTTACAAACAGGGGCTGGTTCTTGATCAGGCTCATATTTACACTGCAACTTTTGCAGCACTTAGGTTGACTTAAATCTAATAGATTCGTACAGCCTCATTACGATTCAAATTGATTCGTAATTTAGTAATGTGTAAGCTTTTCACGTTCCACATTTTGGTTCTTTCATATTTTTCCGAACAATAAATTTTGTCGTCAATCGGTAGTTGCAATTTATTTTTCACTTTGAATACCGATTTTATTATTCGTATGTGTTTATCTGCTGCCTTCAATTGGTTGGAACTGTTTTAAACACTGAACTGTAGTTGTGAACATTCAAAGATTACACTTCAATCTTTAGTCATGTTCAAATCATATTTAACAAGTTACCTAATCTGTCCAAAGTCAGAAACTAGGTATTAAACGTTATAACTGTAAGTGATACCCTACGTTATAGACTTAAATTTATAACTAGAATAAATATTATTGATGGATTAAGGTCCTTTTTATACTTTCCGAGATAATATTAACATTGTATTACTTGTAAATCTAGAATTAGAATCATTAATGCACAAAGTTCTACAAATCTTTGGTGCCAATTTATGCTACTTTCCAAATTGTAATGCCAATATTCATAATATATTTTAAATGATTTTTCTCCTATTTTGTGCTCTAATATCTCTATTAAACTACCAAATATTTTACTACAATTTCTGTATTTATTGTCTATTTATGAATTGGCTCCTACATTGAACAAAATTTGTAGAACTTCATTTGAATATTTATTAAAAACTTTCAACAAGTTTCACAATTTCTTGCTTTGCTCAATCATGTAGTGATATGACTTTTAATTATTATTAATACTGTACTGTTGAATAAAATTAAATGATAATTTTAACAAATTGCTTGAATTATATTCAGGTTAATAAAGATCATCAAAAGTTTTTCTAGTGTATTAATGATTCTAACAATGTATAATAAACAATTGGGGCACTGTGTCAATACATATTTGTACACTTCATTACCCTATCTATTACCTCTACATTGTAGTTGCTTGCAAGGCTCTTAATACAATTATTGTGTCACATTACAATTATTGTTCCATTTAAATATAATCCATTTGCACATGAATCGTGAATGAAGAATTTCTTCAAATAAAAACTTGAGGACCTTAAAATTTGCGTTATACAACAAATAAAACGTAGCTTATCCTAATAATTTCACATTATATTTCTGATTTATTTTGCATTTATTGAATTACTCCTATCCTATTCTTATTCGAATTATTCCTTGTATTGATGGGGGCTTCATTATCTGCCCGTGTCTGATTCCATATAGATTCCACTTAAAAGTACTTGTTTTGCCAGAAGAGATAATGTTTCATACTTTAAACACCAGATAAAAGGTATTTGTTTACCTTCGGCGAAATGTTACGTGTAATTGATATGAATAAAGTACTACCGCAGTTCAAGCTACGCGATAATTCTCGTTCTACATGCAAAGAATAATGTCAGTGCAACTAAAACAAAGAGAATAAAACGTATATACTTTGAATTTTAGATTGATAATATAAAATCGTTTAAGTGTAATATACTACACTTTTACATAATTAAAATTCAATGATGTCAAATCATATTTCATTCTACTTACTGTTATAAACAACTCCTAATTATATGATTCATTTCAAGTCTTCCCTAGTCACGTGAAAAATTCTTGATCGGCTTTTGTTTAGGTCAATGTTTTATGTATCTTAAACAATCCCAAAAATGACATTAGATTTAGACCCATTGAAATTTATGCCATACAAAAGATATTATTTAGCAACGATGTGGCACGATGTTTTTTACAAGACTAAACATATTACATAACACTGTGCTTTATCAACTTGCCACAACTTTGGATTTTATTACAGATTCTTAACTTACTTTGGCCATTGACTCGGAGACCTTCGCAATTAACATTTACAAATGTTTTATTCAGTTATATCTCTCTATTGACAATTCATTACTTGATGTGGTCAAATTTTTTAATGCTTATGATAATTATGATAAATGTGATAAGTATGATATTTATAAAGAATCATAAGCATAATAACAAATATGCTTAAACATGAAAATAGGCTATAAATATGCCAATATTTTATTATCGCGTGACTCGGAAGTCTAATTTTTTTTTTTTGTCTTTATACAAAAGTGATTGATTCAGATGATAACTACACATAAACAACAAGATAACAGTCTTGCAGAAGCGATTTATACAATCGTAAATTTATGTTGTAATGTAATCTTTTTGTATCCTACAAATGCTAGAGGTAATTTGACCCCTAAGAAAAGAAATAAGCGTAATATGCATGGCAGCTGGTTTCTTAAATTGTTCATTCGTGTGGTCTTTACCGCGAAATGACCCACCAGTCAAGCTGCGTCAATCTAAAACATGATTAACTAAAAGCACCTCTTTTAATACCTACTTACTAAAATGTTAGAAAATCCGTCTAAAACTAATTAAAAAAAAAAAAAAAAAAAAAAAAAAAAAAAAAAAAAAAACAAAAAAAAACAAAAAAAAAAACAAAGCTTAATATAAAATTGTTCAACTTATTTTAGGTATTGGACAGATTTGATTATAAAAATAAGCAAAAAAATTGACCACTCAAGAAGATTGTCTAGCATTTAAGTAGTCTAGAAATGTCCACGTGCAAGATATGATGATTATCATTTTGTGATTTAGTTGCATGTGTGTAAGAAAAATTCAAAGAGAAATTATGCAAAGTACATAACCCGCTTTGTATTTGCATGAACTGTGATAGCTCTTGCCATTGCACCTGGTGTTCTATCTTCACTGCAGCCAGATTGATGAGATCCTTCTCCACTGAAATAAATATATTAAAGATACATTAAGAACATAATAAATAAAAAATAAACCACATAAGAGAATAAATAAAAATATAAAATGTATAATACATATTAATACACAAAAACGTGTATTAAACATAAAGTAAGCATTATATATAATTTCATTTTTATAGTATATCAATACAATATATATCACTAAATTTTTACATACAATCAACATTATATTTTTAAAATAAGTTTAATTATATAAATACTTTTATTCATTGCAGTAATAAAGAAAAATACTACAAACTCTTTGTCTTTTAAGTATGTCCTAAAATTTCTTATTAAAAAAGATATTTAAAATTTAATATAATCGTAAAAACTGACAATAATGATCAGATTATATAGTAACTTTTTAATAACCAGTATATCTTTATTACATTTTTACCAATTTTGTCAATATTTTTTGTGTATCTTGCTGTAAATCTTTAAGTATTTTTTATTTGCTGTAAATTTTAACATTTTTTTTTTTAATATTCCCTTAAATGTTCATAAATAAGAAATGACTTATAGAATACATTTTTAAAACGTTTTCCACCTGACAATCTTTACTGTGTAAATAAGTCCATTCATTTATTCTATTATTATTACTCCAAGCATAAAACAATTTACAACAATATGATGTACAGTATCTCAGTAAAATTCCAAATTAACACGTTAACTGTAAGGTATATTTTATACAGGATATTCATTGTAATGATGCCCCTTCATGTTTTAGACACTTCTAATAATCTAATGAAAAAAATATTTTGAACAGGAGTTAGACAGCATTTATTGATAACAAATTGTAATAATAAATATAGTCAGGAAACTTCATATTCAGTAACAGATTAAAATTACCTGAACCTTTTTAAGTATGTATATAACCTTTCCTACATAGTACTAAAAGCAACATCAAGAGAATTCAGAGATGTCATATCCAACTGCTTTCTTTCAATAATTTCTTAAAAATATTAATTATGTTATATAACAAATTTCTTTGTTAATTCGTAAGTTAAACATGAATGTAATACTTTTTCATTAAACGTACTGAGTATATTTTCAAGAAGTTATCTTTATCTTTTAACTTTGACAATGTTACCTTTAATATAAAATTAAAACAATTATACAATACCATTTAAAAAGTCAAGATTGCTTTTTATTGGATACAAAATTTGTAGTTAAATTTTATTATTTGTTATTAACTGAACGCTGACTAACTGTAATTTAAAAATTAATTAACACGAAGTTCAGTTCAGTCTTCAAATCTATTAAATTACTCAGTTATTCTTATTCTTCATGTTAAATTTAGTATCAGTTATTAAGTAACTACATATTGTTTTATACTATATGTTATATAAAAATTATTATAAAAAAGAATAAAACTACAATTTCATAAAAATTTACATATTCAATTAATGATTATTACTTCTTCTTTGGTATAAAGTAGTACCTTATAGTTAAAAAGTGCATCTTATAATATCAATATAAAATTTGACTAACCTATCATGCTCTTTTTCTACCAGATGATATCTGGCTCGGAATGCTACAAGATGAGCATAATATGCTGGTGCAGGTATGCTAACAGATCTTGTACACCTAACATATGTGTGACACAGTTGATAAGTTAAAGATTGTAATTCATCACTTTCAAAACGATTATCATCCCACAAAACATGATAATGTGATGGTCGTGATGTGCCCTATAATATAAATAAATATAATATTTATGTTAAATAATATATACAAAGAAAATAAATTTGATTAGATTTAACATTTACCTGAATACCTTGATGACTACATAAATAAAAGTCAAATTCAGTTGGATGCGTTATACAAACATCAACTGTCGTACCCGCTGGTATGTTTCCACTTTTACCACTTTGATCTCTTTTTTCTGAACAAAACAAGCGAGTATGATGCCTTTTCTGGACTACAACAAATGTTATTCCAGGTCTATATTCAGCTTCAAGTTTAATACAAGCTTCACGAATGGCAGTTAATTCGTGTTGCAGAACATGCAGAAACTGGCCTTCTGAGACACCATCGCGATAAAGAATTATCCTTAGTGGTTTATACCCTCCAGTGCTTTTGTAGAACATAAGAAGCAGTTCCCTTAAAAAAAAGTAATATATCATTATCATTATTATTATTGTTGTTATTATTATTATTATTATTATTATTATTATTATTATTATTATTATTATTATATAAAAGTAATGTAGATTAAAACATATAGGAAAAAAACTCAATTTGGTTTATAATTCAATTTTATAAAATATATTGAATTATAAAAAATTCAATTGCATTTCGTGCTATATAGTTTTATTTAAGAATTCTTAAATAACAAAATAAAATTTAAATAGTTTCTAAATTATTAAAGAATTTAACATTTTTGTCTAATTTTGTATCTACTTCTTATTAGAGACCATCATGTTTAAGATAGATTATCTAAATATTTGCATTAGTGTTAATACAAAAAATATTACATATGCAATATGAACAGTTTTGATAGATAACAAAGAGTTTTATCATTGTAAAACTACTTCTTCCTAAATTTGTAAAATTCACCTATATCTTTTGTATACAGGATGTCCATTTGAAAACTTTACTTAAATACCTTAAAAAACAACATATTTTAGGAACACACATTGAATAGAGAAGTTCCTCGGTTTTAAGGAGGAAATACATCTGTTTTATTTATTTTTTATTCATTAAGTGTTTTCGAACATATTTGAAAGTCAATTTTGTTTTCTTAAATAGAAACTAATATCTTCATTTACAGATTAGACAATGGATACTCTGTATAAGTGAATAATTTATATATGAACAATTCTAAGTTTGAACATTGTTATTTGTTCTTTTCTTATGATCTGTGATTAGTTGAAAAAATTATCTGTAAGATTTTTTATATGAATAGTATTGCTTCATTTAACCTCTCACTTCATTATCAATTTCCTTTTATTATAGTTTCAAAGAGTTTGTAAATTATGTATATGTCTAAACCATTAACATGATAACTAAGGAAGTTACTTTAATGTCTCAATAACAATTTCGATATTTATTGTGCATTTTAAACATGTTTATTACAAATTATCTTCTGTGGTTACTGAAATCTGTAATTTCAATGGAAATAAATTTCGAATATAACACGTTAAGTACCATGCAGGTTTTACGTGCCGTTTCGTTCACGCCTCACTTAGCCGTCAAGCGGGCCCTTCCAGGTCGCTCGCCGAATGTACAAACAAACCTCACCTTTATTTACCTTGTTTTAATAAATTACATCAATGTTTTAAGTATTATATTCTTTTCCTTAAAACATTGTCCAAACAAAAAGTAATGTTGCCTAAATTAAATGTTCAGTCTGACAAATACGCAAGGACCGACACGCGCGCCGCAATAAGAACGAAAATTCTGCTGCCGGTCCGTATGAACCGGCGAGAGCTGAACGGAAAGTCCAGCTCCGATTCTTAGGGACCAGCGTGGCATTTAACGTGTTAACTTAAATTTTGAAGACTAGAAGTCATTTGAAGACCATGTTACAATATAAGACTAAATTTATATACATTTAGTACGTAACTAACATAAGTTAGGTATTTTAACGTATTATTTATTGTATTACTTTAACATAAGTAATACAAGGTTTGATAGTAAATTATTTTAAAACTTGAACATGTAATTTTTAATTTTAGTAACTGTATAATTCGTTACTTTATTTTAAAAAATTAAATTGATTCCGATTTTGTTCATAAAAAAATTTAACTTGTTCAAAGTGTTTGTATATTTCTTATAACATTTCTCATATAAGGTATTACTATTATTTACTATGTTTCTGAATACTTTACATATCTTATGTTGAATATTTTTTAAATTATTTTATATACAATATCTTTTCTAATATAAAATAAATAAATTTTCACTGTATGACAATTTACTTACCTCACCATTGAACTAAGTTCTTGAATAATTTCTTGTCTATGTTGTTGAACTCTAACAGTAGCAGCATATCGAGATGGATGAGCATCCATACTTGCCACGACTGCTGCTATGCTAGGTTTTTTGTTATCCCCAGCAGGTGGGTGAGTCACATCAGCTCCAAAGAATATAACAGGTTCATCAAACACTTTTGGTCTAATGGTAGGTACTAAGATACTATTAATACCACCTAATTTTACATTAATTTTCAGACATAAATTCGACAACGTTTGTGGTGACGTTTTATTAACATTTTTTGCTTGTACACATTGCGTTGCCATACCCAACAATGTATCTCCTACTCTTTTAACCTCAGCTGTAAGCAAATAGAATATACAATTGAGAATAATATGTTGTCAGTGAGATTTCATGTATTGTAATAAACATAGTTCATATTATATCAACCGAAAAAATGTGTAAATGTATCACATAAATTAGAAGTCTTACATATTATATGAGGTTATTTTACTGCATTATAAGATAGCTACAAACTTTTCGACAAATGTACAGATATCGTACCTATTGTATTTTATTGTACTATATAAAATATAATATATGTATAATTACCATATACAGGTGTTTTCCCAGGTAATATAACACAAACAAGTTGCAATGACGAAAATGTTGCTTTTAAATATCTAAACATGGGCTCTACTTGATCTGGCCCAGTAGCATATTTACAAAAACATGGTTGCCCAATAATTGGCATCCCAGCATCATTGCTTATTCTTTGTAATTGTGCTATAAAATTACGTATTGCATCATCACGTACAGTTCTTTGTGGCGCAAAACAGGCAATTGCCCATACTCTAATTTCCACACCCGTGAAAAATTGTTTGCCACGCATATCCCAAACACCACCATTAGGTACAGCTTGCTGCTTTGCCTTCAGCAAAAAAAAAAAAAAAAAAGAAAAAAAAAATGAAAGAAAAATATATCATTGAATATTATGAGATACATACTTTGCATCATAATAAATAAATAAGAAGAATACACCAGTGTTTCTATACATTCCTACTTCTCTATTTTTATTTTTTTTATCACACAATTCACATAAACATTATTTATAAAATAATACAAATACAAATATATACAAATAAAATTATAAAAACTATAACAATTAATCAAAATAAATAAGAATCCACTTCGTCTTATTACTGCATGAAACAAAACTGGATAGCATCAGACAATAACTTGTGATATTAAACTGTGAATACAATACAAATCACATTAAGAAAAAGCTAAATTTCGTTTTAAAGAATAAAGTAATACTTGATATAATTATTATTTATACTGTTTTTATTAATTTTGTAAACAAAATTTGCAGTTTCATTACAATAACAGCCCATGTATCAAAATCAACTAGGTCTAGAACCCATGCATTCATTTCACAACTTTTCATTTTATTAATTTTGTAACGTATTTCAAATAGAAAAAGATGACTAAATGTATTACTATTTTAAAAAAAAAAAAAAAATGTTATATTATCGTGTAAAATTGTATTCGTTGTGAATTTTGTTTAATAAAAATGCATAAAAAATGTTAAAAGAAATGCATAAATGTCAAAAAAAACATTTAAATTAAACATAAAAACAAAAACTTTTAGTTAAGCCATGATTGCAAAAATGTTATTCATATTTATCTACACGTACAAAACAAAAAATGATAACGAATAATTCTATTATGCAATATTGCAAGAATTATATCCGTACAAAATACAATACAGGAGCCTCTGCAAATGTATGATTTGACTAGACCTGATTGACTAAATTGGAAGTTTCTCACCTGTCCACTGAGGGAACTTACGCGCCCTCCATACTGTAACTTGGGTGGAGGTAGAACACGACCTCTAACTTCCATCATGTTGTTTGATATTGTCAAACCAAATTCTTGTACATATGAGTCATTATTGAAGTCAGCTCTTCTAACTAAGTTATTTATTTCTCGTTCTCGATCTGGAGCAGATCGGGCTGTAGCTTTTATCATAGTAGAAGTCTGCATATCGGTTAATTTTTTTATACAACGTTGTCCAGCGACAATGTTACAGACCTAATAATAATAATAATATATATATATATATATAAAATATATAAAAATTATAAAGCTATTTAATGCATGTACATTTCTTGTAACAAAATAATACAATATAACATTAGTTTAATATATTTGAAAATATCTTTTTTTAATATAGAAATAAAATTTTAGCTTATTAATAGTAGCTACAAAATTTTTATTTTACTTAAAAATTGAAAAATGTTTTAGATAATGTAATTACATGTAAAACTATCAACAAAAACAAACTACTATTTTTCAAACTACTTTTTTGTTCTTGATTTCATGTGGAATTAGTTTTACATTACTCGTTCACAATGTATTGTAAATTTTAGATTTTAATTCACATTCATTATTTAAAAAACATTTGTCCTCATTTATTTTATAAATTTATCATTAAAAAAGGAAAGAAAAGAAGAACTCTGATTAATAGCGGGGTAAATATATTATGTAACTATAAATTCTTTTAATTGGAAATTAATAAAAAATATTTCCATTCTCTGTGCTACAAGAAATTTACATGTTTTCATTCAGTCATAATTTTAAGATATCTCATAAATTACACTCTCCAGACATTTTACAATTTAATAAAATAAAAAGTTAATGATGAAGTTAACAAACCTCAAGTGGTAAATATGTATGTTTATGTTCTTGACCAACTTGAAGACATGGAAGATATGGATGGCGTAATTTCATTTTATACTTGTCTAAGAAATATTTTGCAACAGTGCATTCGACTGTTTGTCCATTTTCTAATTGTAATGGGAATCTAAAATTTTCATAAATATCATATATGTTTCAAATAACATTACAAGTACGTTTATAAATACTTACGACTGCATTTGGGCAGGTTTACGCGTAACATTACACACTCTGTATTTTCGCCTCATTGTCCCACAGTGTGTGATTTCAATTTTAAGTCCTTTGATTTCTTTGGTAAATTTAACTCGTTGAGAATCTGTTAAGGGCCTCTTTTGTTCACCTATATCCCTGATGTCTAATACTTCACACATAAATTCTATGACAGGTTGTGCTTTATAAAATGCAGTTGCAGAGACTATAATATAAACCATATGTGTATAAGAAACACATATAACATTTATTTTGTATTTTGTATTTTATATTTTAACAAACTTTATATATTTACCATCAATATTCAACATCATTTTCCATTGAGATGGCCTAACTGATTGATGAAAACCAAACCAAACTTCCCTGCCACCACCTAATGGATGATAATATCCATCTGGTGTACTAAAGAATGATCTACCTACTGGAGTATATGTCATAGATGGTAAATGCCTCATCACAACATCTAAAGCAAGTATAGCATCATATGGAATTTGTCTTGTACGTCCTTCTAAAGCTTCTTCTAAAGCAAACAATGAAACTTGAGCCAGCCACTTTATCACCACTCTAAAAACTCTGTCTTTACCCTCGCCAGGCAGTGTTACCTAAAAATGTAATAGTAGATATTAAATTTTAAATAAAAAAAAAAAAAAATGATTACTTACTGTTTTCATGTATTTTCTTATGTATTATACTTACCTCTAATTCTATTTTCTCAGTACCAATAGGCAAGGGGTCCCTTGTATATAAATTATTTCTGCCATCAAATACAGGCTTAAGAGTCCCAAATATTTTACTATATGCATGAACCATTGTTTCTATTATTTCCCTATTAACTTTACGAGGACATTTATCAGGTTGAATATTAATATCATAATGATGTACAAAACCACGTGGCATTGTTATTTGGAAGTGATTAGCTCTTAAAACAATTGGCCTGCCTTCACGTCCTACATTTGGTCTTCGTGGACATGAAAACACTATAAATACATGTTTCATAAATTATTTTCCATTTTAAGATACACAACATCAGTTCATATTTTAATATCTATTCAACTGTAGAATACTTAAATATTGTCATCTTTTATTAAATCACAATAAATATTGATTTTCAATTAATTCAATAAACAAAAATATAATAACAAACACAATTTATTAATTTTAATTATATAATTTATGAAAAATATAGTAACAGAAAATAAAATTTATATACTCTTAATTAAATAGATGAAAAAATTATTACATGTAAACAATTTCTGACATAGTAGCAAATAAAAAATATTAATATTAATAAATAAAATTAGTAGTTAATAATATATTAATGCCTCTTTTTATTAATGCATACAAACAATATCTAATAACTTACTTGGCAGTTCAGGAGGTTGAGGAGGAGTGTGTGTTTGTTGTGTGGAAACAAGTCCTAAAGAACTAGGAGCTACAACACTGCTCCCAGTTGCTCCAGTTGCTCCAGTTGCCCCAACAGAAGAACTTGTTGTGGGTCCAGGTGGAGGTGCTAAAATAAAATAATATCACAAAAATTAATGTATCATTCTTTATATAATAAATAATTACCTTTATACATGTAACGCGCGCGCGCGCGCGCGTGTATATATATATATATAAAACAAAATAATGAAAATATAATAGTAGTATAAAAATAATGAAAATAAAAGAATATAATACATATTTCTTTTAAATACAAAAATAATAAATAAATACAATATAATATCTAAATACATATACATATATTACATATATACATGTAGATACATTTACACATATTGCAATAATTAAAAATTTGGTTATAGCTGTTTTCTTGAACTTTAATATTAAAATATAGTTTTGAATACTAAATGACATTAATATTAAACTAAATTATTAAATTAAACATTAAGTTATTATAATTAATTATAATTTAATAATCACTAATTATACTTTAATATTATAATTCCATATTTATAATCCTAATCTTTATTACTCTAACTTTCATTAGAGTATTAAATATTATATTTATATCAAGGATACTTTATATTTAAAAATAAATGAAATAAATTAACAACAGTTTATGTTCAAGTTAAGAAGTATTTTGTATATTGTTTACTTTTAATATACTTATGTAATTAATATTTAAGTATATAAATATTTTAATAAAATGTCAGAAAAGCATTTATTTAGATAAAGTCGATCTTCTACACAATAAATTTTTTTGTGGTATTATAAGACTTCATAGTTTCAATCTAACAAGATATGAACATTTGCACTAATTCTTTACAAGTTTATGACTTTTAATATTCATAAACCATTGACTTAAACTAATTCCAGAAAAATATGTAATAAATTTAAATCTACTTATTTCATAACTATAATTTTTTAATAATTTTATTGATATACATCTGCAATACATAGTTTACTAATGTTAATTAATCACTGATATTAGTCTATTATTCAGCACTATACATTTATCAAAAACCAAAGAATTAGCTACACAGAGCCAGATCTGTCGAAGTTATTTGAATCAAACAACAAGCCTACTTTTAAGAAATGAGAAATAAGTTGTTTCATCTACATGCCATAATTTATCTACATAAAACAACCCGTTATATGTAGCATAGAAAAAGTTGCAAATTTGAGTTGTTCATCTATGAATAATCATCAAAAGATTTGGACTCATTCTCCTTAGCATATTTTCAAAACATTTATAGTTTTAGATCTAAACTAGATATATTAAGATATGCCACTGCACCTATCTCAGAAAAATACAAGATTATTAGGCTTGTTGAAACATGGCTATATGAGTCTATAATAAGTTCAGAGTTAAGCTTACAGAATTTTATAATATACATTTACTTGACCACAATTGCATAAATAGTGCAATTAAATTAATTAAAAATACACCAAATTTTGTTGAAGTTCGCTGTCACCATAATACAATTATTCTCAATTTGATTTACAATATTTATCTCCAGGTTATAACCCACAAATTTTTAGAATAAGCATTTTATTGAATTTTTTAGATTTCATTGATAATCTTATTTATTCAAGCTTATCCTCTTGTACAATTCATAAGCAGGTAAGTATTGTATATGTGGTTTCTTCAATTTCCTCCATTTATTCAATTTCAATTATAGTAAAAATTCTTATGGTACAATGTTAAATTTTGTATTTTCATTATTCAAAAACCTTCACATTAATCCAGTTTTTAAATATTTGATCTCTCGTGATCCTTACCATCCACCTTTCTAATTCAATATTTCTTTACCTTTTAAAGTATTTTAATCAAGTAACTATCTCATAAAAAAATTTCAAAAATGCATTTTTCCATTAATGAATGTATTAAGTCAGTGTACTAGGATTACATACTATCAAACTTATTTGTAAATAAATCATTGAAGATAATGTCCTTGTACCTGAACATTATAAGGCGAGATAAAGTGAGGTATATGCTCTAACCTCTATGACACAGAGGTCTCATTATTTACTTTGGTTCTCCCCAAATCTAATAATTAATGTTTTCTAAAGTTAAAACATCTGTATACCGAAAGTATAAATATAATAACACATTAGTTAACAATCTTGCGTTCTGTAAGCTTCGATCAAAATGCAAAAGACATTTTGACTATATTTTTAGCACATCTAACAATTTCAAGAATGTAAATACCTTGATATTATTGTATTGTTCTTTAGTTTAGAATATTGCTCAACTGACCATATAGGTCACCCTACTAGCTTTATCTAAATGAGAAAATCTAAAATGTTCAGTATAAGTTTCTGTATTTGGCTTTTTGCTTTATGGGATGTCCTTGATTGATATATGATCACAATAACATCTTATATCTTTTCAACGTCAAAGGTATCTTATCTGATTCCATAAGATAATTAACAATATTATTATTAGCCCAGAAATATTAAAATGTTTTAACATTTATACATCATTAATAGCCATAAGATATCACATTTTTATTTTACATAAATAATATTGTATATCTTCTAGCCATTTTAATTGTATCAATTGTATTATTAATAATGTTAACAAATATATTAAATACATTAACTTCTTTAGTTCTTATAACACCTTTAGGCAAAATTTATATGGAATTTTATATATGAATACACATACCCAAATTATAAGTTTTATACACTAGAGAGTTTTTACCCATAAAATAAATATAAACATATATATAATAGTATTCTAAGAATATTTTAGCTTGATAATGTTCCATAGACTAGTTTTTTTTACAGTATATGTCAATAAACAATAGATTTTCAATTAAGTTATACAAACTATTATAAATTGAAAAACGAAATAATATCAAGTAAGAGAACCATATAACAAAAACTATAAATATACGTATAGAAATTATTTATATTATTTTATAAGTTAATAAAATTAAAAATGTTAAGAACTCAGCGATAGCAAAAAGTTTAGCTATATTATCATGAAACAATTAAAGGTTTTACCTTTTTATTCAAATTACTATAATTACAACAATGCATTAAACACATCATAAATAACAAAAAAACATCGGTATTAGGTATATATATTTATATACTCATACGTTATCCGTGCATTGACGGATCAGAGTGACGACACATTGTGCCTGTTGAGCGAGGTTCATTCGAGGTCATTTTTAAAATTTTCCTCAATTCTTTAAACTTCAACTTATTGTTTTGAGTTAATTTGGTTAGCACATGCATGAATAAAAAAAATTCGGATTATTCTGAAATAATCAAAAAGGAATAAAGGATCAGATCTATCCAAGCAACGAAATCCTGTCCTTACTTAGAAATACAGAAAGGACTGTTTTAGAATATTTTGAAATATTGTAAAGTAAAATAAATGCACCAAAATACTCACGCTGCCCTACAGGATACATTTTTGCAGCTGACGGTAAAAAAGACCAGATAACCACTAATAAATAAGTAAAAAATTCAACACAAAACCCACTGACCACACAACACACTTCTCCACAATACACACTGCAAACGAGACTGCCTCCTGCAATGGCTGCCACCAACTTGATTCCGATTGATCTTATCTTGACCAATCAGCGCACAAATAATAAAACGATAGTTAATAATTCTTGGCGCCATCATCCTTTTTCAAATTATTTCAATTTTCTACCTAAGGGAAACATATTAACAAACATTGCAAAAACATGTATAGTATATGACAATTTATAAAATATCAGTAATATATATGATGTTAGTAAGGTTCCAAACATAACACTATTTCAATTGTTTCAAAATTTATGCGATATATGGGGTCTGAAATATATAAAGTAATATAAAAATTTTGTTTTACAATTCGTTTTACTTTAATCATTTGGTATTATTTTATTTTATAACTGCCTTATAATATAATGATAAATGATATTTGGTTATGTTGGTTGCACTGTGATCAAAACTATTTTCCCTAGAATTACATTTATTGATAATACGCACTGTATGCGATTGCGTGCTCGATTTCCGAAATGTCGATTCCTTTCAATGGAACGCGTACACGTTCAGGCGGATTATTAAGTGCTATTGTAAAACATTTGAAAACTTTAACCTTAAAACCAGTTAAATCAATCGAGCTAAAATTCGATCCTTTCCATAGTCAAGCTTTGGAAATAAGGTTAGTTTATTAAAATTCCGTTCGTTATATATATTTCATTATATTTAATTATAGTATCTAATGTTCCTTAATTTTAGTTTATCATAAATAATGTACAATGAATTGTTAGTTATAAATTTTCTTTATAAGTATTTTTTTTTTTTTTAATTGCAAATATTGTATCGATAGGTAACAATTACATTTTGCTTATTGTAAAAGGTTTGGTTAGTTTAATGACGTCAATATTATACGCATGTGCAGTGCGAGGTTTCTAGTAACTAGCAGACGACATCAGTATGTATTTTTAGAAAATTTCGATAAGTAATTATTACAATAATGTAATAAAAGCGTAATATAAAAATTAAGTAAACTAAATAATATTTAACCTGAATATTGTGAAAAATGTGTGATGTACTTTCTTACTATATCTAATAAAAAAGGTATAACTAATTTTCATATGCAATTATATAGATCTTCTAATTAAAATATCACATGAACTATTAGTAGAAGTAACTATTAGTAGAATCTTGAAAAGCAATATCTTTTTATAGAAAATAATTTTTAAATATTTGCATTTTCTATTTAATTTAATTTACTTTCTATTCTAATATTTTTTACCTAATAATTTCTTTGATAGTTACATATGTTACGATTAGCTTATTTGTTACTGTAGTTCAGTTAAAATTAAAATACTGTTATAAGATAATTCTTATTAGTAAATTAAAAAATTTCAAAGTATTTATTTTTTATTTTCTTATATATCTTACATATTTCAGATAAAGGTAAAATTTATTGTATATATAGCCTCTTTATGTTATACTAGGGTCATAATTCATGTACATATATCTTTAATTATGTCAAACAAGAAGAAAGGTCAATTCATTTAAAAGAATGATGACCCTTCATTTCTAAATCTAGCAATAATACTTTGTCAGTAACGTAAAAGAACATAATATAAATGAGCAGTAGATTAAAAGAACTATAATAGTAAAGGTATCTTTATTAACATGCGATTAAAGAAATTAAAAGTTATACTTCCAAAATAATCGATTACAGTAATATTCATTAGAAATACTAAAAAACTGTCTCTTGAGTCAATTAATGATTGTTTCATATTTTCTTTTATAGAGTATTTAGATTACAATATTTTATTTCATGAATATTTAATATCTTTAAATGTATTTAGATTATCATAATTTAATCTGTGACTATTTAAAATCTATAACTATTATCAGTGTATTTATAATACACTTAATATTTTAATTACTTTATAATAAAATATTTCTATAGTTTTTTTTTTTTAATTTCTTTATTTGCTTGAGAATTCAATTATCATAAATATAATTGTTTTTATAGAAAAAAATTCGGATTTCATTTTACCTATTTACATTAATTATATAATTGCAAGAATTAAAACTTACCGCTGCATTGTCCACATCCATATGCTTTACCAAGCATGGAAACAGCCGTAGTTATCCGAAGACTATGTAAAAATGGCCTTTGAAGTGGTAGCTGTTGTTTCATTTGTGCCATTTTTCCTGTAAATATTATAAATTAGTAAAAGATAATGCAAGAGTAATCAATATTAAAATATGTTTTAAAAAATTATTTAAATGTTAAATATGTTAAATTAATATAATCAGAAGTATAAATTTAAAGAATAATATTGAATGTCATAGATTATAATAATTATGTTTATATATATACTATATTTACAGAGATTTTTTCTTTCACATTACAATTCCAAGGATTGTTGCAACAAATCCATATTGCAAAGTAAAACCATCTATTCTCTCTGACTTATCTGAGCCCATAGTTACATTTAATTTGTGTGAGTATTGCAATATTTCTCTATTTGAAAATATTTAATTGAAGTACTTAATACAATGATACAAATTGAAATGTTAATAATTTTATTCAAAAGTAAAATATATGTGTATAATATTTCAGAAGTGAATAAATGATATAGCGATGACAAATTAAATACAATAACTAAAATTATAATTAAATTTTGAAAGTTCTGTTTAAGATAATAATATATTATTGCATTTGTATCTTTTAGTATCTGGTGATAGAATAGTATGCAAAAGTGCAAATTTGACGTGTTTAAATCTATTACAACTTTACAATAAACATATAACGCCTTTGGCTCCAGCTGAACCTATTTCTGAAGATCAAAAACTAATCAAGGACAAGGAGAAGAAGAAGAAAAAGAAGAAGGGAATTAAAATTAAACCAGGAAGCAAACGTAGAGGAGTCTTTTTGTAAATTTATTGACAATTTAATTTGATCATGAAACATTAAAGAAAAAATTGAATATAAATGCAAGTATAAATTAAAGAACAGAATCTGTGGAGAATGCATGTCAGAATCACTTTCACAAATTATTTAAAATAGCTCAAATTATATCTCTTTCTCACTTTCTCTCAGTCTTCATTTCCAGATAACAGAAAATTAAACCTACAATGTCAATTGATAAAAAGATCTTAGCAATAATATATTCATTAAAAATTATGTTTTGATCTTTTTTTTAGTATTTAATTATAAAATAAAACGAAAAAAGTAGCTTAATAAAACTCATATATCATTTTATTTCTTAATATTATATAAATTTTTTCCAATTGCATACATAGAAGTTTACAAGAAACTAATCCTGTATTTTTTGTTAATACAATTTAATCATTTAATTACTTTCTTTCTTTAATCCACATTAGGAAAGATATCTAAGTATTGTAGTATAAGAAACAATTTGTTTTTAAAATGGCAAGTCATACTGCAAGTAGCAAAAACTATAATATGAAACTTATTGACACAATCTATAATCAGGTTCCAGCTTTTACTGATGTATTTGATGAAGAAACTTGGTATATTTTTGTTGCCTGCTTTGTAGCAGGAACATTTTTAGTTGCATTTATTCTTTCAAGATTTATCACACTAAAACCTGTGGAATAAATTTAAAAAAATGTAAATGTTATTTTAAAAATTTTGATTTATATTCACAAAAGGATGCATTAATTACATTCAATAAATTTGATGAATATTATATTGCAATAGAGTAATTTTTTTGTATCCTATATAAAGTATAAAACAATATAGAATTTCTATTACAATCGTAATAAAATACTATATTATAATGAATTAGTACCTATATAAACAACATTATATTAAAATACTTTCAGTTACTTTAAAACATTTGTTCAAAAAGTACATGTTAAGTAATTTATTTTACATATGTAATCTTTTATGCTTGAACATGCAGTTTATTAAACTGATATTTACATACACGTGTTTTATAATTATATTTTCATAATTTTAATGAAGATTAAACAATTTGTATCTTCAATGTAATAGAAGTTATATAATACTGAGTAATAAAAAATTAATAAAATGTTATTATAGTGTTTAATATAAGCTACAAACAATTTTGTAAATCATTATTATTTAGTATTACAGTTTGTGTTACTGGTTTCAATTTTTATATATAGTAAATTAGAAAATTCAATAATTTAACATTTGAATAGTTTTATAAATTTAATTATAATGAGGGTTATATCATAAATATAATACAATATATATTTATTAATACTTTACAATCTTAATTTATAATTATATTGTCTAGATATAATATAAATATGCATGCCGATATTGTGTGTATTCACATCTATCTCTATCTCTATCTCTCTCTCTCTCTCTCTCTCTCTCTCTCTCTCTCTCTCTCTCTCTCTCTCTCTCTCTCTCTTTCTTTCACATACACACGGGCGCGCGCCAGCGCCACTCTTTTTCTCGTTTATATACGTTTATTACATACGCGTGTTTATATTCGTCATGTTCTTTAATTTTTCTATTTCTTCCCCATTAAATTTATTGTTTTTTAATTCTTCATAGATCAATTGATTTTTTTAGATACTAACTGAATTTTTCGTAAACATTGTCTTATTCCTAATAAAAAATTTAATGTAAATTATTAAAATAATAAATTTTATGTAATAATTAATTATTTAATCTTCCTAATCCGCAATGATACGGAAAATATAGTATCTACATTATATATAATTAACATATCAAAAGCTGACATTACTAATAGAACTAAATATAGAAGTTAAATGTTTTGAATCTCTTTATACAGTGATATATTCGAAATATTTATTTAAATATATATTTAAAAAATTCGTAATATAATTTTAATAATCATGCCAAGATAAATTATATAAAATTAATCAATGTATGTATTAGGAAATTTATATTTTCATCATAGTCTAGTTTTATTTGTAAATCGGTTATTCAAAATATCTATATTTTTGTTTATACAATTTTCATTTATTTATTTCAATTAATTTTAATTGTTAGATGAACTATTTAAAATAAAAACCTTCAAGTTTATTTATTGGATTTCAAATTCAAAGTTTATTTTTTTAATGAAAATTTGTAATTATGAAAGTGTTACTGCGACGCACGCGTATATTTAACTATATAGGTATACAATTACACATAAAAATACAATTTAAAAAACTCACCTATTTTGAAGAAGTAGTATTCAATTTATAATATGCAGAATAGGTAAGCACTGTTATGGGATTCACATAAACATTGTCTTTCTTTCATAAATAAACTTCACGGGTAGTGTCTATGCATTAATTAACTAAAATAGTTGGTTTTATATAACACTACAAAAGATACATCTTCCGTGATGAAAATATATATTAATAATATATTGTACGTGACAACAATTATCTACATGTAAATATACATATCACACAAAATTTATTTTTCACATTCTTTATGATAAATGCGTATTTTTAGAACAATAAAAAGAATAAAGAATTATATGTATTCTAACATTAAGCCAAAAAACTACTTAAGATTTACATTTGCAATAAAAATCAATACCAACGAATATAATAATTTCAGATAAATATAATTTTTATATAATCATTAATATTTTGCGCGCATGCAATTAAAAATATATTTATACATCGTTAATTTTTATTTCGATCGAACTCAAATATTTTATAAGTTTTCGTATTTATTGTAAAATTTTTTACCAAATTCTGCGCATATTAATATAACTGAAAGGGTAATATATTAAACCACAAATATATATGTATATTATAAAACTGAAACTATTTCTTTGATGTATACAATAATTTACTATTTATTTTTCTAAATATACGTGTATTTCATAGAAAAATATATATATACAGATCATGTTTCATATTATATTCTATATCGAAAAATAAATTAGTAATATAAATATATTTTCATACGTGTAATAGTTTAAACCTTCAATTGACATTGTTCTACCACTGTTATCTGAAACATGCATAATACTAAACAATAGGCTGCCATTGTCTTTTAAAACAATTTCAACATAATTTAATTTTCCTTTTTCGTAATTTTATTCTTTCGTAAAAGTAAAGATTTAAATGCATAACTTTCAATTCACTTGGAAATAAAAATTGTTTACCTTTCACATATATTTACACGTACATACAATTCATGATCAATGATCATATACACACACTACGTTGATACAGTTATATATTATATTTTGTTTTCATTGCTAATGGTCAAATAAAAAAAGATTAGATTGTTGAATCAATCGTGTAAAAATATAAAAAGAAATTAATACATATAATTTTATACAACGAAAATTTCTTTCAAATACATATTTTACTTAAATGTAATATAATTCATTAAAATTTTTGTATAGAGTTTGACCAGTAATCATTTTATTATTATCTAACCTGAACTGTTTATCTTTTGCAATTTCCAATATATGCGCAAAATACTTGGTGTATAGTGTGTTTTGTTTAAGAACAATAGTTTACACAGAAATTATCGCAAACAAAACTGTGATCACGAAAGGAAGCAGAATTTTGAAATATAATCTAAAGCGCGAAATATTTTAATGATTTGATACTACCAAACTCTTAAAGATTTTACAGAATGGCCACCGCCGCTTTCACTCGCGACGCGATCCTACCAAACACGATTTCAGTAGGAGCGGGACGAAGCCGCCAAAAACGATCACCAAGTGTCAAGGTTGCCATTGTACACGAACATACCGAATATACCGACCGTGTGAGTATGTTGAATGTACTCACATACACTCTACACTGCTCATCTCTCTGATGTTAGTAAAGCTATCACAAAACAATAGTATTTTATTCCGATATTCGCACTTATTTTATAGTGACACCAATATCAAGTTACAATAACCTTCGTTATAAAGTATTTCAATACACTTGTATATTTTATGTATAAAGAACGCAAGACATTTTACATAAATTTACCGGGTAACTTTTGACGACATTCACCAAAGCAGTAATCAACATCCGCGAGAAGGACCCCACTACTTGTTCGATTCACCAGTTATTGCGAATGCTCGTACGGTCAGGATTGTAACAAGTAAACAGAATGAGGTATCATTGTCTCACGAACTTGTTTACAAACAAAAATGTATATATAATAGCGTTTAAATTTATTTTGTTGCTACATATTAATGAGTTGTACATAATATATCTGTAATAATATACCTATAGTAACAATGTATATGATAAGAATTCAATATTAAAACTGTTTTATTTCTAATTTAAGATAGTATATCATATAAATACATATTTTTAAATTAACAATCGGTTTATATTTTTAAGTAGTGCGCGATTCTTTGTAAACATAATGATAAAAAGAGTTATAATTTTAGTGTATGTCAAACATTTAAAAGATTACTATTAACATGTTTAATTTAATCATAATACCATTGAAATATGCTTTATTTTAATATTATTTTATTATAACTATTATACATTGAAATTTATGTAATTTAAATATTATAATTTTTGTACATTTTAAATTATTTATATTGAAACTTATTGAATAATTGTTATATGTAAATATAAAATATAACAAGATCTTCCAAATGTATGATTTCTCGTTTTGAGCCGATCCTGGATGATGTCATAATCGGCAGACCAATGAGAGACTCTGCAAATTAAGCACGCAAATGTCTGACAACATGGATTATATATTTTGTGCCAATCTTTGTAATATAAAAAGTACATTGGATAATATATAACATTAATATAAAATAATTTTATTTACCTGCAGAACTAAGTAAGAAAATTGTATTTATATAACAATTATTCTTTTGTACAAATTGTGCAATTATAGAACATGAGACAATGACTATTTCATTTTCTACATATATCGATTATCGGTGTAGCGAATAACATATTTCTGCGTCGTAAACAGTGTTTTTCTATTGGTCAACTGTACTCCAGCGATTAAATATTGCGGAAAATAAAAATATACGTATGTACATGAGTTTGAAATTTTCTGTTTTCTTTTATTTGTATTTATTTATTTGTATTCAAAATCCTTATTATAATTTTAAATCATATTCCATTGAAAAATAATGTTTTGTTAGTTACAAATTTGAAAAGTATTTTATATAAATCGTAATTTAAATTTAATAAAATAATTGTATACTAAAAATTTGTAGTACATGCTATATAATATTGAAAAAATTAATATTCATTGAAATATTGGTATATTTTTAAGATGTTAAAAGTTAAAAGCCATGTATATGTATGTACAGAACTGTTGTTTTAAATATGTTATAAAATTGAAACTTATTGTTAGACGATTTTCAATTATTTTAAATTTATTTATTTATTAACTTTTTATTATTATACAAATTTCATTGAACTTAATACTTAAAAAATTCAATATATTTACAATTAGAAGGATATATGTAAATATAATTATATTATAATAAAGTATATTATTTTCAGGAATTATTTATTACACATAAATGATTATAATGTAATACACATTGTATATCTTCTAAATGAAAACATAGATGGAAATCAGACTTGTTAAGTTCTATTCTTAATCTAAATCCAATCCTTCGTCATCATCACCTTTCTTATCAGGACTAGCTGTTGATGGAGCTTGTTTAGTACTTTTGTCCTCCTGTCCTTCCTGCGTTTGTTCTTGGCCACTCTTAGCTTCAGACTCGAGAGCAGTGACGAATTCTTCTATGTTTCCACTGGCTGCAGCATTGACAGCATCTGGGCCCAAGCCAAATTGACGGATGACAGGTCCCGCCTGGCCTGACTGCAAAGCAGACCAGAACATTGATAGCGCCTGGGAGAACTGGGAAGACACTAGCGTGGTACACAGGTAATCCCCTGGTGGTAAGTGCGGGCTCATTGCACGCTCCAAACTTGACGTTGCAGAAATCGCCGCAGGGATGACTTTGGTCAGCTCAGTTGCTACGCCCCTCTGCCGGACAATAAGCTGTGCTGTAGGTTGCCGAAAACAACAAATAATCCCAGAGAAACTTCCCCAACTGCTCGATAGAGCGAGAGTCTCCAACAGCCAGGAAAAATTCATGTGGAAAAGAATATTAAATAACGAAACACCCATGCCTCTGTCCTTTGATTTTATAATATTAGTTTTGTCACTCTACACTGTGTTTCAATTACTGGTGATAACACTTATTCTATGAAATGACAAAAATTTACAGATTATACAACTAAAATTTAAAATCTATAACATTTTGTACATATTATTGAGTTGCCTATTTTATCTTTTGATTATTTCATAATGATATTAGAAAATAAATTATAATAAAATATACAAAAAATGAAATAAAAACATTAAACAGATAAAAACTATATAAACAATTAGCATATCACGTGTAATGTAATAAATTATTTTTCATTTAAATAAATTGAAATAAGATTATACTAGTTTTGATAAAGACTTGTGTAACATATAAATATGAAAAAATACATTAAGTGCTATTTCTTAAATTGCAAGAATAATATTAATGTCAATAATTTAATTATTAGACTTAAAATACCACAATTATAATTTAGAGTAAAAGAAAATTTATTGTTAAAAGAATCAATAAAAGATCATGAAAATTAAAATAGTATTTATAGTTATTTGACATGTGTTAATTATTGTAAATAAAAAACAGAAGTTAATGTACATATAATTATTTACATAAAATATTAATAGCTGACCTTGAAATTTATTACCAATAAATTTATATAAAATTAACTTTGTCATGTAAAAATATAACACATAAAAGAATACACTTTGAAGAGCTGCTTAAAAAAGTTATAATTTAAAATTATTAAACAATGAAATATTATTTTAAACATATTATCAAGAATATCATTTTGTTCCTGATAGTAATAATAGCTGAAAAAAAAGATATAATTAATAAAAAAAAGCAAATAACATATTACAGTGAACTACAATAGACTTCCGTATAATGCAGTTAATGTGTTATGTTACGCGTTATAGAAAATCGTATTATATGAGAATTTTTTTGGTACAAGACAAATAGTATAAGTTAATGTTTAAAATGACTATCGTTATGTCAACTTTTAATTTATAAATTAGAACAGTTTAAAAATAATATACATTACTAATGTATGTAAACAAAACTTTTTTATTTTATATAAATTTAAAAGAAGAAATAATTTGACAAATTCATTATAATTAGTCAAATAAAATCCGATAAGCAGTTTTGTAATATTGTTTAATACATAACGCATTGTACAAAGAATTGCGTTATATAAAAACAGTAATCGCAATATCTTGGCGCGTTACAGAAATTCACTCGACCAAATACCTTGCAAGAACTCGCATTCTATGGGAGTCTACTGTACTATTTAATAACTGTTGTTACTGAACACAGTGTAATTATACAATATTAAAATATGTAATTATACAATATTATATTCTAATCATATCCTACAAATTACGTAATATATGTTCCAGTATGGGTATGCACGCATACTTGGATGGCTGGCGCGTACTCTGTATATACGTATAAATTAATTATAGTTGTTTTTTTATTTATTGCAATTGTTAATAATTATATATAATTTATACTTTAATTACTGTTGATTCTACATTCTTAATTTATATGTGGTAATATAATAAAAATTCTTAGATACTTTTAATGTATTTAAAAAATGTAATAAAACAAATAGCTAAAATATGAAATATTATATCGACAAAAATGAAATGATACTTATTGAATAGTAAATTGCATAGCTATTTTAAAAATTTTCCTTCTATTATGAGAACACTTATTATTTCTCTTATTTTCCGAAGAATTTTAAAATGACAAAAAGGTATCTATATATTTCAAGAAAAATGATAAAAATAGTATCAAAAAGAATTATTTTTTAAAATTATTCTCAAAAATTACTTTAAGGTTATTAATATTTGTTTGATTATGAATGTGTAACAATATACTTACAATTAGTAAAATATTATAGTATCTGTATGATTTTAAGAACCAATAGTTTTAATAATTTTTGATTATTTATCATATTCAAAAACTATTATTAATGCTATATAACATTCTTGTTTGCTGTAAAATTAGCTGAATAAATTTGTTTATTTATCAATATTAAAATATTTTATGTGATTATTAGAAAAATTTCTAATAATTATTATTGAACTATATAAGTTACATAATTTAATAGAAATGAATAAAACATGTTTAATATATTTTTGTTAATATCATAAGAGTATTTGCCTTATATACATAAAACGCCAGATAAAATTTTGTATGGTTGTCATATCTAAGATATTAAAAAAGTGCATGATATATTATTATATTAAAAATAACCCACAGTACTTCTTTAAAAATATTTTTTGTATTATACATATTAAATAATATATTTAAATATACAAAAATCATGGTTCGTAATATGGTTTAATGAATTTAAATTAAAGCTTTTATATCATCATAATAATTTACAATATTTCTCTATATATATAAATATCTTTTACTGATGACATATTTATAACAGAAACAATGAAAAAATAGTTTATAAAACTCTATCTCAAAATTAGAAATATTTGTTTTAATTCTAATATCTAGTACACATTTTTTGTTTTCATGGTTACTGTTAAGTCGAGGTTTCAATATTAAGCTTGATTTGATTCAATAAAAATATTATGATTGGAAAAAATATTAGTTTGTATATGAAATATTATCTAGCATCTATTTATATTTTATATATCATTTAATTTGCATTATTAATTATTTTTAGGTATGCACAGAATATTATTACATCGATCTTTAAATATAAAGTACGATATTAGGTTATTTATATTAATATTTTTAATCAGGTATTTTTGTAATAAAAATATCATTAAGAAGCTGAAAATTTAAAAAAAATAACATATGTCAAATAAAATTAGGTATAGAGAAAGATATTACCTGAACAACAGATTCCGTTCCTGTAGATGTTGGAATATCTGATAAAAAGTTTTGTAGATCACTAAGTAAGATTTTGTTATTTGTACTTGCTGACCCAGGGGATGATGTTCCTGATGTTTTTGATGACGATTTATTATCACCTAAACAAAGATTTATATGAATCAGTGTATAGCACTTTATAATAAATATCTTTACCATTAGGTTTTGGAGACTCATTGGTAGATGCTGGCGAAGACACCATTTGTGTAGTTGGTCTTGTATTTGTAGTAACCCGAGTCAATGCAGTTGTTGTCGAAGCTCTAGTAGTTTGCACACCTTGAGATCTATTCATTGTACCCAATAAATTACCTAATCCAATTTGACCAACACCACCAAATAACTGCATTAATTGTTGTTGTGACATATTATTTAATAAATTTTGTAGATCTCCTTCTGGATTTGTACTGCTACTTCTTTGTGATCCAGGAGTTGGTGGATTGTTAAGAACTTCATTAATTTTTCTACAATATTCCTCATCTTTGTCTGTTTTGAGATCCTATATAACGAAAAAGTATTGATTAATAACTATTGCCTCGTTTTTCGGAATTAATATATATTAAATTAAACAATGTGCTTTTGTAATTATATTACTTTATAACTTATTTTGTTTATTAATCTTCCGTAAATATATTTTATCATGTATTTTTTTTATAATATGTAAATTTTATATACAGTATATCAAATTTTTTAATAAATTGAACAACAATTAAAAAAATTTAAGCATTAGACTTATAATCCTTTTATTGTCTTTATTATAACTTTCTAGTCGTTTTAACCCCCTTATAAATATATATATTATGCATGTAAGATGCAAATATAAATGAGTTCCTAAATTTTAATAATATTGATTTAACACTTATCTCACCTGTAGCCAAACAAAAAATTTCTTATTCGATGACTTGAATCGTAAAAGGTATACTCTCCCAGTTTTACATTGTGGAACATGTTTAAATTCACAATCGTCAGGAAAAATAATTAAATCCTATAAAAAAATGAAATATATTTATAAAATGCTTATAAAGATGTACGTAAATTTAAAAGAAAAATATAAATTTCATAAATAATAAAATTTCATATCGTTTTGATATTGTAATAAATATTAAGAATAATATAAATTATTTTTACATCTTCAACATATCCTGATACACGATCTTTCCAACAAAAATGCATTAATGAATCATCAGATTGATAAACGTAAAGTTGGCCTTTTCGAATATCTGGATAAACCATCTTTCCTTTCATAGTCATTTTGCCTGCTTTAAACTCAACCAAATTTTTAGGAGTACCGCGTGAGGCATTATTTCCGAAAAGTGCACCTCCTGACATACTTAGTTCTTTAAACACCTCTTTTTGTTTTGATAAATATATTAAGACTTCACACGCGGTTAATTTATGTTATACAGCGCGCTGATGACACTGCACTTTAAAATGGCGTGTTAAAAGATTTCCAATCTTACATAGAATTCTTAAATAAATGCGCCACGTAGCGGCAGAGTTTATAAGTACTACATTGTGTATCATCTTGATAGACATGAATTACTTAGATACAGATGTGATTCTTTATTAATGGCTGCATTTGATTTGCTAATTTAAATCTAATATTGAATAATCATGTAGCTTTATAATAATTAAAAATTATTTTTAAAATGAATTAATATTTAACAACCATTTTGTTGCTTATAATTTTTATATTAATTTCGAAACATAACTTTCTAATTTAATAATTTTCAATTTTTAAATTATTCATTTTATTTAATTTAGTTTAATATAATTCAAAATACCAAAATATTGGATTAATATTAAATTTTGATGAACATATTTAAAATCTACGAATCACATATCAAAATGAGTTTGATTGCTCGCTTTTTATACATAATTGTCATTTTTTCTATTTATTGGCTATTATATATTGTTCGTATTAAACAAAATATTATAAATTATTCCGTTATAAGTATATTTTAATTTTTGCCAAAATTTGTATCAGTGATTATTATCCAAAATATATGCGAGTATTACATAA